AGTCACGGTAGCTGAGCGGTCTAAGGTATGTACCGTCTTTGCTCGCTTGGAAACTGGGATCGTGAGTTCGAATCCCACTCAGGGCATGGGTGTTTAGTTTGTGTGTGTGCGTTTTTCTGTGTTTGTGTATAGGTAGAGGCCTTGTGACGAGCTGATCACCCACCCAAGGAGTCCCACTGTATGTCTAAGATCTAGAAAAACCGAAGTGAATGGAGAAGTTCATGGAGATAGGCTTAGGCCCACTGGGGCTGTAGTGCCAAGGAAAAAAAAAGGCGTAATTAGTAAATTTGAAAGAATGACATTATCGAAATGAATAGAATGGTTGTGTGTGATGACATGTTACCACACAGTTGCAAACTGTTAGCCAAGCATCTGCTCAGTCTAACACACCGCGTACTTTAAATTGAACAGTCACTCTGATTTACACAGAATATAAAGAAAGAGTCCTATCATCTGGTGCATAATGCTGTGTAGTCTAACAGAGGTTCACTGACACTTTGGAGGAATGTATTGCCTCATCTTCAGGGCTGAAAAGTAAGGCAAGCAAGGAGCAAGCTTGCATAATGAACTCTTAAAATATGAAGGTATAAATGAGAATACAAATTTTACTCACTTTCCTTAAACAAACGTGAAGGGGGGGGGGCAATTTTCAGATGATCACAAGCTGCCACTGACATATATACACTAGTATATTAATGATGCAGAAGTAGTGATGTGTGTTAATTGTTATATACACCCCAAAAGTGAAAAGGTATCGATTTACAAGAAGCAACCTTATTTTGACCTAATATTTAGGCTAATCCATCAGTTAATAAATTTCACTGATCAGACATGCATAAGTCTAGCTTACAGGTGTCATTGCTGAGAGGAAGGCAGTGCAGATGAAGCATACTTGCTTGCTTAGTGGCCAAATAGGTGTGCCAACCATAAGCTTTCTTTTATGAACAAGAAGTTAATTTTAGAATGCTTAATTTTTAATTGAACAATAGAAAATATTGTATTAAACAGGCTAAAAAGTAAAGTACTAAATACTCTATCTTCACTGCATTGATGCCAAATGCATGTGATTATGGGATCCTTTGTAAGTATTCAGGAAATCTCTGTGAATTGGTATTGCAGCCTGCACTAATGTGCTGTTATGACTTATCATGGTGAAGATTACTCATTTGTTTTATTAGCTTTTTTATAATAATTATGTGAGTGTGCTGAGGGAATGAAGGAATAGTGTTGTACAGTTATGTGAAATGTTTTCTTCTTCAAGGGCATATAAAGAACAACTAGAATATATTATGGAACTTTGGACTCATCAGACATAACAGGGATTCAGATGGAAATGAGAGGTTACAATTAATTACAAATGACAAGATTTAAGTGAAGAGTGTCACATGAGAAAGAAACCAGTAATCATGTAAGGAACTGCATTCTTGCAATTGGCATCTAATGTTTACCTTGTCTGTTTATCCATTTTAATTTTAAACTATTATTAGGTATTTTTCTTTATTTCTATGTAATTCCGTGAGAGGCCACAAAATTGTATGAATCAATGTCAGAGCCTCGTTTTTGAACTTCATCACAGAGCTACCCCTCACAAAGATAAATCATTTGCCATTGCTGAGTAAAGTATTAAAATATACAGTGTGGTCTTTGAGGTATGACACTGTGTAGTCTGATAGATGATTCCTCACATTCTGGAGGAATGTACTGCCTCTATCATCAAGGTAGAAGAGATTCAAAGGACTTCTGTGCTCAAGGAGACACCAGGTTCTTCTGAAATGGTGGTAACCTCCTACCAGACTACAGGATATTGTGGCATATTTGCTCAAAGCAAGAATTGTGGAGTCACTACTGCCAGCCGTTACTAGGCAGCGACCCAGAAACAGCAACAGAGGAATGGTTCTTTCTGCCCAGTTCATGTTGATGGAAGTGCAAGCAACGATGGAATACATCATGACATTGTTAAGCAACAATTGAACTGCAACAGAGGAACCATGTCTTCTGCATGGTCCGCGCCGAGATGTTATAACCACGGATAGTTAGAAGTTGTAGTTAGTTAGAGGGTTACTATGGTTCAGTCATTGTGAGGTGTTCCTGCTGGAAGCTGGTAGATGAGGCTGGGGACAGTTCAGGAACCCAGAGGAAGGGTATACCACTACCAATCACTGGCAGTGAAGATGTGACTGTAGACACAAGTACATATGTGTGTATATGCCTGTAATTGTGAACCATAAAGTGTAGTCAAGAACTGTATCAAGATGTCATCACTCCACATGACACTGGTATCAGAAGTTGGATTGGATTGATAATTAGATTCATTGCACACTTTGATACAGTGCGTGGCTACACTTTACAGTTCTCTATTACATGCACCCTAGTGTCCGCAGTCATGTCTTCATCGCCGTTGCTTGGTAGCAACTTCCAACGGTGGATGTTCCCTTCCTCTGGATTCCTGAATGGTCCCCGTACTTGGCTGCAAGCTTCTAACAGGAACAGTTCATAACAACTTAACTGCAGCAGTCCTCTAAACGCAATAAAAGTCAAAGTCAAAGTCACATTGTGACTGACGGTCAGTCTTGGTGTCGAGCCCAACCAGATATTTATTACCGTTTGACAGTTACGGTCTTGGTACTGCTTATCACATCTTGGCATGGACTGCGTAGAAAACACCGTTCCCCTCTTGCAAAGTAATTGTTATTTAGTGATAGTATGATTCATTCCAATGTTGCAAGCAGAGCCATTGGCATGGACTGCACAGATAACACCATTCCTCTGTTGTTGCTTATGGGCTGCTGCCTAGTAATGACCGGGTGCTGTGATTCCATAATTCTTGCTTTCAGCAAATATGTCACAATATCATAACCCAGAACACCAAAGTAAATCTCAACTTTTATGGAAACCTTAAACTCTCACACTGAAACATAGTCATGCAATCAATACTTACAGCATCTTCGTATCTACATACAAATTTTAACTGGAGCCGGGATAGCATAGTTGGTATAGTGACTGGCTATGGGCTGGATGACTGTGGGGTCGGAGTTTGAGTCCCAGTAGGGTCAAGAATTTTCTGTCCTCCATGTCGTTCAGACGAGCTCTGGAGTTCACCCAGCCTCTATCCAATGGGTACTGGGGGCTCCTTCCCCGAGGGTAAAGCAGCCGTGATGTTAAGCTGACCACTCACCTCCAACTAATGCCAAGGTTAAGATGATGTGGATCTGTACATCCAATCCCCCATACACCTTCAAGGTGTAATGCTTAATTAGTTAAGCAAAGGGACAATTTTACCTTCTTATATATTTTGAAATTGTTTTATATACATTTTATTACAGCTGATTGATAATTATTTTGTTCCACTTTATATGCAAGCAGCTGAACAGACCCCAGAATCATTTATCTACCTTGTACAGCATGCACAATGGGACACAGTCATACAGAAAACAAGACTGTTTATACAACAGAAGATTAGACAGATCATGGCCATAGGCACGATATAAAACAAAGTTAAGGAAGTTGACTGTGCACAGATTCAGAAGGGGAGTGCATTTTCTTTATAGAATAGTGGCTCAAAAAAATTTGATAGGAAAATGTCACAGGATATTTCTTTCCAAGTTTTGGCTGTACACCAAACTTCTTTCTCAGGGTTACAGAATCATAATTGTTACCAAAAATTGAGACATTTTATTCTGTTACTAGCATTAACTCTGTCAGATCAAGGAATCAGAAACAAGCTTAAATTTAGAAAGGAATGACTCATAAACAATACAAATACAGAGATGATAGTACAACATTGACTTTAATATTTACTTCAGTATACTGAAATTTCTAGACATTCATGTGGTATGGGTGAATGCACTTTTGAATTTACTAGCATAGCAAACTGTTTCTCATGTTCAGTTAGTCTTAACTTTGATACTCCTTGAAACCATCTAACACTATAAGTGAAGGTTAATATAATTCAGTGACTAAAGAGTGAACTTGTATGTTTATTATTATTAACTCTCATGAAAGAAGATGAAAGAAGTGTTCTTTCATTTCTCACTTCCTTTACACTGCATTTTTTATTCTGGTGATAGGTTCACATGACACTGTGTGGCCAATGTATGTTAATGAAGGGAGTAAGGGGGTGTAATGTGACATGTATTAATCACTTTTTAGGAAAGTTGGAAAAGAGGTCAATCTGGTTCTATATGTATAACATAAACTCCGTTGTAAATGTAACACTTTATTGTAGTTCTTGTCTCTCTTCTTTTAGACTACACGTTTCGGCTGCAACCGGCCATCATCAGGTGTATTTCACTTTATGTAGCTGTCACACTGCACTCAATATTAACATTTAAACTCCAGATTGCCAATTGTTCATTGCTCTGTCGTCAGTCGGTACCCAATATTCCAGAACTCCCCTTGTTGATTTCGTCAATTATGTTTAAAATCTTTATTAATATTCACTCGTAGATTGGTTTAAAATTTCAAATTCTCAATTTAGCTTTAATATTTAAAATTAAAATCAAAATCACAGAGATACCCGCTCTATGCTTATATGTGCTGCAGCGGCTTTCAGCACAGCTCGCGTGTTATTTTGTGCAGGTTCTCTGTGTGCGTGCCACTGCGAAAGAAGAGCAGTGGCACGCATACTGAGAACCGCTGCAGCACATATAAGCATAGAGCAGGTATCTCTGTGATTTTGATTTTAATTTTAAATATTAAAGCTAAATTGAGAATTTAAAATTTTAAACCAATTGACGTGTGAATATTAATAAAGATTTTAAACATAACTGACAAAATCAACAAGGGGAGTTCTGGAATACTGGGTACCGACTGACGATAGAGCAATGAACAATTGGCAATTCAATTCAATTCAATTCAATTCTGAAGTTTAAATGTTAATATTGAGTGCAGTGTGACAGCTACATGAAGTGAAATACACCTGATGTTGGCCAGTTGCAGCCGAAACATGTACTAGTGTGAAGAAAGGGGACAAGAACTACAATAAAGTGTTACATTTACAATGCAGTTTATATTATACATATAGAAGTGTGGAATGTAACAGGATGCTTAAATATAATATAGGTCACTGTGGAATGAAAGGAAAGAGTCTTATAACTAGTCTTGAGTTTCAGATTCATGTCTTAATTGCAATGTCTGATGCCATCAAACAAACATCCTTTCTTACAGTAATAAAATTTCCATTCCTTTTTTTTTGTTATTTCTTTGAAGCATGTCTCATTGATTCCTGATAAAGATACCAAGAGATATTTATTAGACAAGAAAGATAAAGAATAAAATTTATATCAAAATTTACTGAATACTGGGTACTTCAGTGTTGCAATTTACGTACTCATCGTGTGTGTTTCTATGAAGTCAGAGGTTTAGGTTGAACCCCTGACAGTAATGATGCTGTGAACCCTGCTGTTATGGTATGATAATTTTCAGTTTACTGCCATTCATAGGTGTTTCCTGCATGCTTATTGATAGCACTAAAATTTTTCTTCTGTACAGTCTATTGGGGTATTTTAGTAACCATGTATTGGGCAGACACCTATGGAAATATTTTCTGCCAACATTATTTTAAATTTTGTCTATTGATACAATTTATGCCAAGACTTTGTTTTGTGTTATGAATGTTTCATCTGGTAGTTTAAAGTTATATTCAAGATTTTTAAAAGATGGATTAAGCAAATGAAAATGATCTGAGAATATGGAGATTACTTTTAACAATCAAAAGAGTCTTTGCCAAAACAAATGAAATGCTCTTCCTACTCAGATTTTCATGTTGTAGATGTCATCTGTGAACTGTGAAATATCCAGTATGTTGTACATTTCGAATCCTCCTACAGTTAACCTTATCAAATCATATCATACAAAGAAGATATCCCATTTTACAAATGCACTTGTATTTCAAATTAATTATAGGTCTGATACTTTAAATGGAAGAATTCTGACTGACTTTGAGAATCATAGTTTTTCACAGAGAAAGGAATGGGTAACTATTTTTATTTTTGCTTCTTGTAAGTGTTACTTATCTCAGAAGTGGTTTTCACACAACAAATTTTAAGACAGGATATGCAGCTTGGTTACTGTGAATTTACATTTATTAGAAATCATTCTGATTTATAATGGGTATTTGAAACAAATTTACTTAATGAATTAACTGAGCACTTATTTATTCCAGATTCAAGTGGTGATGTCTACAAACATACTTTACATACTTTCTAGGGTAGTTTTTGTTGGTGAATATGGTTGATGACACTCTTCTGCTTTTCATAACCAACAACCACTTAGTTACTATATTTTGAAAAATGTTCATATGTACTTTATCATACAATGAGCAGGGATCACGTTGAAAGCACTGCTGTCAAAACAGGTGTATTACACAATAAGTTGCCAGTTTTGAAACTATTCACATCACCAAAACATATAATGATGATCACTTTTATTATATTATTACAAAAAAGAATCACAGGCAGAAATAAGCTTTTGCAAAATTTACTTCTTTGCATCCATTAACAACACTACTAAAATAATGTTCTTCCATCAATCATATTGCTTACATTCAGAATGTTTCAGAGTTCATGTTCAGTGTTCTCAAATACTGGAGACACTTTCTCATAGTCTGATGAATTTAATTTTTCATAATAACTCTCACTATTTTCACTTGCATCTGATGAGTTGCAAACAGGATATTCAGCGTGTATACATAGCTCTTCTGGGTTTTGGTATCAGCAGCCATTCCATTAAAAAAAAAACGTGGCAGATATTCACTTGTGAATTATAAAATCCTGAAGCATTTTTAGTCTTCCAGCACTTATTTGGGCACTACTTGTTTCTGGCAATATTACAATAATAACTATTTGTACATCAGTCACATGAGGATGTATTTGTGTGTTCAGTGTGTGTGTGTGTACAGTTTCAAACAAAGAAACAAACAAAACTTACACAATACCAGCCAAATACTGTAGTGAGATGTTTTTTCATCTTTTATTGACAATTGTAATGTGTTAGACAAAAGTCTACTCTTCTGACATAATTCCATTCTCTGACAGTACCTAGGCTTTCATTTAAATGGAATATATTTGCCCAGTTTTGGGCCAATATGTTTAGTGCCTAAAAATCACTTATAATACATCAAAATTGGCTGGTATTTCAGTCTTCTTTCTGTCATGGCTAGTTGCCACAGGCCTTTTATGTTCTTGTATTTGGGGGTAACTAACTTTACGTGTCCAAGCTTTTATCATTGCTTTTGTAGCATTTATCAGGATCTTCCATGTCTTTGTTTGGTTCAGTCTATATTGTACTTTTCTGTGACTGAGATATCTTTCTTTATGCATGTTAAGCGCCAATTTGTTGAAGAGTCATATTCAGGTTATGTTCTTTGAATTGTAGCCATGATAGATGTTCTTTATTTACCAAGTGTGTTTGGAGTCAACTTCAAATGGAAGAAGTAGGTTGAAGCACAAAGAACATTTTCTTTCATTCAAGTTACCATCTCAGTTACGTTGTAGAAGAATTTATGTCTTGTTTCTGTACACAAAGAACTGGAATTTGTTTCCCCCTATAACACTTTCTTTATTAGACATTCATTAAAATGAAACTCCATATCATTGAAGTCAGAGCGACTAAAGAAATGCCACATTTAATTTCTCTGTACTTGAATTATATCACATATTTCAGAGAGTTCATATGTGGTTGTGTAAAGCAGCTCTTACCAGTCGGTATGGTGACTAGCTATGGGTTGGATGACCGAATGGTCAGAGTTCAAGTCTGGTTAAGGTAAGAATTTTCTCTTCTCCAAGTTGTCAAAACTGGCGCTGAGGCCTAACCTAGCCTCCTACTGAATGGGTACTGGGGGCTCTTTCCCTGAAGCTAAAACGGCCGGGGCGTGAAGCTGACCGCTCACCTCCAACTAGTGGCGATGTCAAGAAAACGTGGATCTGTACATCCACTACCCCATATGCCTTCATGTTGTAGTGCTTAATTAGTTAAGCACAGGGACAACTTTACCTTACCTTGCCTCCTCCCGCTGTTTTCTTTAGCCCAGAGTCTGGTGACATCTCTCTGCTGATTATTAAACCACTTTGTTCCACCACCAGAAAGAGATTACTGCATCACTAGTATAGTAGTTGAATCTGGCATAGCAGAGAGATGACTGCTGCTGAAACAAAGTTTAATCCAGAAATTCAAAATTCATGTTTAGAATCAGACAGTAATTTGTTAGCATATATATGTAGGAATTAGGTTAACCATCAACACAACAAACATACTGGCTTTTAATGTTTTATAATTCAACTTTTTATTCCTGCTACATGTTTTGGTTGAACAAGACCAGTGAAAAGTGTCACATTATATACTAACAGATAAAATTTGCCTCAAGTTGGTAAGCATTACTTCAGCTTTCCATGAAGTGTACCTTACTCAGGGACATAAATGTTCATTGCTACTATCACAGAAGCCTGCTACTGAAACCCATTTTCAGCCACTTAAATCTATTTCATATGTTCTCAGTCTATTTCAGTAAGATCCATTTCAATATAATCATCAAACTTAAGACATTCATCAGGAAAATGTTGCAGCCAGGTTGCTGGCAATCCAGTTTCATATATGGGAGGTCCTGAGTTTGATTCTCTGTACATTTATGCATTTATGTACAGTTTAAATTTATCAGTTTATGCATGTATTTCTGAGCATGATTTCTTAAATGTCATGTTCCAGATTAATGTAGATGTTGTGATATATCAGTAACTGAGAATCTGTTAATCTGTATTCTCATATGTCGTGTTTTGGACATTGTTTGTATAAGAATAGCAATTACGATAAATAGTTCTGCATTTTTCATAATGGAAATTCCACTTGCTTTTTACAGATGTAGGGCTCGAAATGTTATCCATAGAGCAAAACAAATACTCTTATTCCCTCTGTGAGTGTACATGTGATGAATTGACCATGAAAAATTGAAATGAAATGAAAAATCAATGAATGAAAAAATTTCAAGCTGTGTGTAGTCAACACCCTGGCCACAGTGGTTCCCACTCTTTGTACTATTTCCTGCTGACTGGACATATGAAGCAAACTGAGACCCCCATACAGATTTTCATCAAATTTGAAACCATAGAATTTCATGAAAAAGACTTGAGCCATTTCATTTTCAATTTATTTTGGAGAATTTTAACAACTTCACACAAGGACCTGCATATATATGTTCTTGCTTGCATCTCGAAAGTAACTAACTAAATGTTTGCACAGCAAACAAAGCTTCTGAACAAAAACTCTAGAAAAAATTAGACACATGTTATGTTCTGAACACGCTTAGCATAAATCTAATGGCTTTCTAGAAAAGCGGAAGTGAATGAATCTTTCAAGAATGTCTATAATCAACACAAAGCACAAAAGAAGGCTTTATATTTTTTTGTTTATAATTCACATAATTTGTTTTTTTGTGTGAAAAGTGGAAAGACACATACAGGTAAAGTGTACTAGGGATCTTCCTGTGGTATAGGGTAGCCAGCACGTAAGGTTGACATTTTTGTTGTCATCTGTGAGCTTATCATTTAGAAAATGTGAGAACCTCAACTTCTCAAAACCCTAGGGGCCTCCACGGCTTGTTATAGGGATAGCTGTTTTTACCTTTACTCTCTTATCAGTGCTCTTGCTAGATATTATCAGTTCTGCCTGTGCGCTGGACAACATCATAAGCTGACAGTCATTAATTTGAAATCTAAAAGCAGTAACTGAGGGAGTGTGCCAGATTTGTCATGCTGCATGCACATTTCCTATATTGTATGTTCTTTCTAGAATATGTCATAAATACTACTGTTAACTTATAATTAATTATTATTCATTCCATTAAAAAACTGTATTCTTTGTAGCTGTTCTATTTTACTGTTGTTTATATGTGTATGAACCGCCTCATGTCATCTTTGTTTCTTCACTGTTGGCTTAAAAATTAATTGGAAATTAATTTTCATATAACGACCTATTCAGTGAATGCCTGTGAAGAACTGCACCCCGTTCATCTGACAAGGTCTGCTCGCACATCAAGTTCCACCTGTGTTCTGTAATAGTGGCTAGGCCACAGGCTGGAGGACTGAGGAATATGGATTTGATATTTATTTTCTTTACAGCATTGAGGGGGCTCACCTGGCTTCCTACCCAACAGATAAAGGGGTAAGGGCGTGGAGCTGAAGACCCATTTCCAAATAGTGCCAAGGTTAAGAATGCATCGAGCTATGACTCAATACCACATAAGTTTCCATGGTGAGGCAATTAAGCACATGGACGACTTTGCAAGAGGTGTTCAGATTCAGAATGGAAAACAGCAACAGTTAATGGTAATGAATGAAGACTGGTCATGCGGGAGGAATTTGTTGTTCATATGGACTGGAGTAGTGTGACCCGAGAATTTTTTCTTCGCTCCCCACCACATGTATATTTTTTTGTTCTATTGATCGGGCAGCTTAGAAGTAGACATGGCACAGGGCTGGGGCGCTGGTTCCCACCCTCTGCCCTAGATAAGGAGGTGCCATACTTTACTGCCTAATCAACTTCACTTTCTAAAAATCAGGGCCATGGAGTTTAGTGGAAATTACTTTATATCCAGCAAAATCTTGACGTTTCGAAGACTGTCTCTGTTATCAAGGACTGGTGTTCTTCAAAGCAAAGTTAATTAAAACTGTTATACGACGTTATGAATGAAGGACGATAAGACGCATTGGATATGTAGCACGCATGAGGGAGAGGAGAAATGCATACTGCTATGGCGTTAACCTTTCCCCGATGATTTACAGACACGAATTCGTAGATCATAACTCACACACACACACACACACACACAGATATATATATATATATATCTGTGTGTGTGTGTATATGAGTTACGTTTTTATATGCGCCGACACGCTTGTAAATTTTCACGTCAAACTGTAGCTGAACTTGTCCGAAATAAATTAAAAGAGGAAACAATGCGAAAGATTTTCATATAATTCTCGAATATAAAATTTAATACTCTGAAATCCTCTCGTGCCGTCAACCGCATCAATGTTGAGTCAAAGCAGATAGGTTTCAGAGATTCAGAGCTATATTCCGTCTTCGTTATGTGTGCCGATGTGGTGACTGAAGACGGAAATCTCTGAAACATTGTTTAAACGGCGCAACGGCCGAGAAGATTTCAGTACATTTATTCGACGTGAAAACTTCAAATCTTATAAAAAAGTAATGAAAATCCGTTAACTGATTCTCAAGCACTTTCATAGATATGATAAGAAAATTTCCGAACTTTTTTATTGAGCAATCATCCATGGCTTTCCGAATAAAATTGTGACGGGGCCTACGACGACGATGAATGTCTGTTCAGTTCAGACTGCGTTGCAGCCACGTGTTTTCTCATTCTAATATACTGTTTCTATTGCAATATGCCCTATGACTTTGAAGCAATTTATATACACGTATATCCCATTTTGGTTTACTGTATTTAATAACAATGACGTCTCAATGCTGACTGTTCATTCATTCATTACTAGCCTACTTTCCATCATCATCATCAGTAATCTGTCAAGACGACAGGTCCACAGTCTCTTCGAAAACAATTCCTCCATTTAATGCGATCTAGAGCTTTCTCCTTCAAATGACAGAATCCTCTTCTGTCCCAAAGGTCATCCAGCATCTTCTTACGTCTTCTTCCTCGTCTTCTTGTCACTTTTATCCGCCCCTCTATCTTTCCTTCGATAACTTCTTTTAGAAGGCAGTTTCTGCGTAAAACATGACCAATCCAATTAGCCTTCCGTTTTCTTATTTCGTGTAGGATATTCCTCTGCTCACTGACTCTAATTAACACTTCTTCATTTCTCACATAATCGGTCCAACTGATCTTCTCCATCCTTCTCCAACACCACATTTCGAAACTTTCCAGATGTTTCTGATCTACTGCCCTAAGTGTCCATGTTTCAGCCCCATACAGAGCTATGCTCCAAATGTAGCATTTCACTAGTTTCTTCCTCAAATTTAAGTCCAATTTGCTGGTAAAAAGATTCTTCTTCTTGCTAAATGCAGCTTTTGCCATGGCAATCCTGGATTTAATTTCACTAGTACACCTTCCATCATCTGTTAACAAGCTACCCAAATATTTAAAACATTTCACATTCTCCAGTTGTTTTTGGTCTATCTTTATTGTGACTGGGGTTGGTCGTCTCGAAATTTTCATTACTTTTGTTTATTCCACATTCCATATTTTGAAAAAATATGGCTTATGAGATCACCTTGTTCTGTGTATGCTCCCTGCGTTGCTAGGCAATGGTTCAGTAAACACGTTTCTGCGGCAATGAATATACGTGGAACAGCAGAATTGTTGGACGCATTGCTTTCTATGTGGTGAGTGTCATATCAAAGGAAATTAGGGGAGTGGTTCTTCCTCGTTAATCTTCGTCAGAAAAAGACAAAATACAAATAATTACAAAAATGGTTCTTAACTTAATGAAACAAAATGACTAAGCTGCCGTTGTAGCATGAGATACGTAAGCTAGACATCATCTGCTTTCCAGAGCCTTGACTGACAGGGGACTTTTATACAGAATAAAAGCAAGAATTTTCAATAAGTTTTTTTTTCCTTGGCACTATAGCCCCAGTGGGCCTAGGCCTACCTCCACGAACTTCTCCGTTCACTTCGGTTTTTCTAGATCTTACACATTCGGTAGGACTCCTTGGGCGGGTGATCAGCTCGTCGCAAGGCCTCTACCTGTACACAAACACAGAAAAACGCACAGAAACATCGATGCCGTGAGTGGGATTCCAACCCACGATCCCGGCTTCCGAGAGAGCGAAGACAGTGCATGCGAACATGCTGTAAGTGCGATACCTAAACTTAACAAAAGGCAAAGCATATTCATAAGAGACAAACTCAGCTTCTTGTCAGAGATGACGTTACATAAGGGAAAATCTCTGGTAGTGAACCTCACGGGGCTTGGGGCCAAGGCGAACTGATTGGCGATAAACCGCCAGTCGTAAAGTAACTGACTCTCTGAATAGTTCTTCCTAGAACTTCTAGTATAATTTCTATATATTAATTTTATATTTGTTACAGGTCAACGAAATTATCAAAATCAGCAGCAGGTGTTGCAGCTCCTTCAATATAGCCAAAATTCTTGTTGCCAGGGTTTGTGACGTCACACTTTTTGACAGAGCAAAGTATATGAGAGAAGAGGGGACAGCCAGCTCACGACAGTAACAGGTTCGTTACTGCTCAGTAACTATTCAAGCCTANATCCCGGGTCTGGTCAAGTGGGATTTGTGGTGGACAAAGTGGCGCTGGGGCAGGTTTTCTTCGGTTTCTCCTGCCAATCTTCATTCCACCAATTGCTCCACAATCACCCTCACCTATTATAATAGGTGAGGGTGATTGTGGAGCAATTGGTGGAATGAAGATTGGCAGGAGAAACCGAAGAAAACCTGCCCCAGCGCCACTTTGTCCACCACAAATCCCACTTGACCAGACCCGGGATCGAACCCGGGCCACCACGGTGGGAAGCCAGCAACTAACCGCTTGAGCTATGGCGCGGACAACTATTCAAGCTTAACGGAAAACCGTTTCCCCGATTAGACAGGCATATGAGAGAAGCCATCCGTTGGGTGACTGATCTTAAGAACAAGGGTCTAAGAAATCAAGAATGCAGAGAAGATATCCACAACTCCCCCACGAGACAAGCCTGCAACATCTGATGGTAAAGAAATAGATTCCTCGGAAGGATCTCCTGGGAACCGTCCTTGTATCATCACAAGTCACTCAAAGGGCACAGATGTCACAGAGACGCTGAAGTGCAAGAACTAGGCTCCTAGAGTTTAGTGGCTCAGTTGGATGAATGTCTCAGTATTTACCGCGACCTGATATGATTGGAACATGAGGATTCGGATCTGACCAGTTTGTTTTGAACCTCCCCTAGAGGCCACTGTACACGGGTTTGCAGATATTACGGAATTGTAAGAATTTGGTGACCCACTGGAGTGCATTTCTCAATATCTAGAGTGACCTAGCGTGGCTGGAACATGTACCTGTGTTTCATCAGCTTTAGTAGGTTTCTCTGGGGCCTCCCTTACAGGTAATTTGGCATTTAATTATAAACGCTTAAGCAATTATACCTAGAGAATCGCCGTGATTTTATGATACCTCACATAAACGTTCAGCGCTGTCCGCATCGAAAGAGCATTGGCCCATTGTGCCGTGTTTTCCAGCCGGATGCCTGATGTTCTATTTGATAATGAATGTTCTGACTGTTCTTTATGCCGCTAGACATACCGGTATGTATTCTGACCATTACCAGGCTGCAACTACAGGCTTCGGCATTTGGAGTTGGAATGACATTCTGACAACAGAGCTACATTCTTCCTTCTGAGATGATGGTTGCTATGTCACATACAGACATGGTCAATAGCTTGGGACTGTTGTTCGCTGTATTGTATTTGAGTTTCCCAAACAATTATTCACCATCCCGAGATTACAGTTTTTATTGTACGTTTATTGACAGCAATTGATTGGAAATTAATCTACGAAATTCGAATGCGGACTAGTACTAATCATTTCAGTGCGTCGTAGACACTGGTATTTAACCTGTTATCATCATATGGGTTATTGGTGAATAAGTCTCCCACCACGGGAAGCCCGGGCCTTCAACTAAATCTGCTCACTGATGTTTTTAGAAGTGTGCTATGTGTATTAATTTCTTTCCTGCAGCAAATGCAAACAGCAAGCCGGTGAAAGTGATGGCCACAGAGCAAACATTGTTTTTATTTTTTAAGTTTTTCTTGTATCATGATATTAATTCTTGTTTCTCGAAGTCCCTGCAAGCGAACGAAAGGATGGTTCCTTGAAACAGGAGTCTTTTTCAAATACTCACATATTGTGACATTAGGTCTGAAAGCCGGAATATTCCATTGCTGGCCAAGGGTTCGCTAAACACGTTCCCGTGGTAACGGATACGCTGGGAAAAGTTAAGCGCGGTCACGGGATTGACACACGTTTCGTGGCAAACCAGAGTAACACACGAACCGTTGGCGATAGTGATCTTTCTTCGGTTCGTCCTGAGGTATAAAAGAGAGTTCGTAAAACAGTCGCAATGTGACTTTGACTTTGACTTGAGTCGTCAGTCACACCGTGTGGAGGCGGGGTCGAATACCTCCACCGTGACCCTGCGAGTCGTAGGAGGCGACGAAGAGGGAAGTCTCAAACCTCAGAGAGTAAAATATGGTCGTGAGTCCAAGGGACTCGGACCCTAGAAAGACTGCGCTGGCAAGGACCAGCAGCATATACAAAAGACAGATCCGTCCTCTCGTCAGAGAGGGTGCCCCACAGAAACAAGACCGTAACTGTCAAACGGTAATAATTAATATTTGGTCATGAGCCCCAGATGGGGCTCGACACCAAGACTTACTGACTGAATGACCATGAGTCGCATTGTGACTTTAACTTGAGTCGTTAGTCGAGGGAGTCGCAGCAGAAAGAAGAACTAAGAAGTAATTCTTCAGCAGTGGTGAGAGAGTTCAGTGTTCGACTGTGGAGTGCTAACCAGCGGACAGCGGAAGCTGAAGAAGTGACCGATTCGTAAATGAAACCAAGTCAGTCACGCAGAAGAGAAGATACTCGTAGTCCAGCAAGGAATGGAGCGAGTCTTAGGCAGCCATTGGTTGTGTGCTGTTACAGTTGGTTGCAATTGTAAGGAAGTACCAATAAATCCAATCATTATTTATTATTCATCACGGAGCCCCGGACACGTGACAATATTGTCAGGTGTATGTGTGACTAGAGATGGGTTTTGGTTAGGATGTTGGATTTACTGACCATTTACAGGCCCTAGCTACAAATAANATACTTTTTCTTCTACCCTGAAGATGGAGGCGATACGTTCCTCCGAAACGTCGGTTAACACCACATATACACGGTGCCAAATCCCAGAAGACTGCTTTCTTCATAGTCACCGCCGTGAAAGCCTCAAATTTTACAATTATAACACTATCGCTATTTCAACACTTTACAAGATCACAAAATCACTCTAAGTCTTTTCCAGCCCGTAGTATCTTCACTAGGAGTTGCCTAGTAACAGTTTCTAACAATGGCTATTCCTCTGCTTCCGCCCTCAGTTCCTCTCTGAATGGCGGTTCCCTTCTAACTGTGTATTCTTCAACCAGTTGTCCTCCTTATAACTCCTCGGCACTGACCACCGTAAAAATCCCCGTTTCCAATAATAACTCAATTGTTTCGTGCAAACTTTTGCCGCCGGAACGTGTTCGTTTGCTATCGTTGCCTAGAAACGAGTCTACTGGCTGCAGTATTTAGTCATGTTCAACAGAATATATCTCCACTTAAAGCGAAGGCATTAAATAACTTCAGAATTAATCTACGTAACAACAAATCAAGTAGATTCTAAAGGGTTCTGACGATGGTGGATGACACAAACAATTACTGGGTTCTTGGACTTTTTCCATCGTCCAGAATTTTAGGTAATAGACGACACGACGTTTCGGAAAATGGATCTGTTTCGGTCTTCAGGTGAGAAAAGAAGACACCTACTCAGTTGTGCCCCTTAGAAAGAGCTAATCTCAATCACTGGTCCAGACAGTACATGCCTTAAACCGCTGGCCTACCGTGACCGGCCGGAAAGAGATAAATACCAAATGAAAATGCTCGGTTGACGCTTGGCTGTGTGAGCTTCTTGACGGCTTCATGTTCACACTGTGACTATGATCATACCTGTGATTGCTACGACGTGGGAAGATCCTGCTTCTGTTTAGTCCTCGGTCGACTACTTCCGGTCCCAGCACCACCGCTGTGGTGACGCCGGGCAGGTGCCAACAGCTCCACGGCCGTTTGATGAAGCAGCAACTTGGTCTCCTCTGTGGGGGAGTGCTCCTCCGCCGCAGACGCTGGTGGGCAGATGTATAAGGGGCCCGACGTTTGCGGACCACCACCACAGCAGCCACCATCCCCTGGTGCGGACACGCACCCCCCCACAACCGCTTCTAGCCTCTCTCTGTACCTGTTCTCCACGGACGCCTCGTCTCGGGCGTGTTTCTCCCCTCCAAACAAGTCCTCCAACATGAGCAGGGGCGACTTTAGCTTCCGCGACTTGTCGCCCTCTTCACTTAGCCCTACAAATTTGATGGGAAGAGCGTGGGGTTTCGTGCCGGATTTAGGCCCTATGGCGCGCAACTGCTGCAGCTTCTGGGGCTGCCTTGCCATGGCGGGTGTCGCTGGAGGCGAGAGAGTGGCTGCCCGGATGGGGAGTTTGTTGGGCGAATACTCAGAGCCAGACCCTGCACCGCACCCAGTGCCGCCATTGTCGGATGCGCTGACGCCGGAAGTATTGTCCGAGATCAGTTTCTCTGTTTCCGGATCTGTCGAAGAGCGTCCATTTCTGTGATGATGTCCGCTACTGTCTGACTTCTTCAGGATGGACTTTGAACGGCGATGCTGATCCAGAGTCGGACTTGTTCTGCTGTCAATGGAGTCTACAGACAGTGATGATTTGCTCCGTCCTTCCTTACCTGGATACAAAAAAGAACTCATTACAGCAGTAGTGAACCAAAATTGTTGCCAGTGGCAAGAGGTTTGAAGTATTTCGAAGGCTCATGAGATCAATGCCTCATGTAGTGCTGCATAAAGCGACACTATTGAGTTGGAAAGCACACGGGCAGGTATCAGGTCACAGATAGCAATGAAGAAAACTGGGAACGGCACTGCAGTGAACAATCCAAGAAAAATAACTTTTACTGAGAATTGTGACAGTACAGGGAAATGGGTTTGAGGTGAAGGGCAAGTGAAAGCCAACGAGACGACAGAAACATAATTTTGATGCTGGTAGAGGCATCTACTTGTCTGATATCTGAAAATAATTCAAATTTCTCGAACTATTCATTTATTCCTGTGCTATCTCAGTAACTGGGAACCATAGGCCGCGCCATAGCTCAAGCGGGTAGTCGCTGGCTTCCCACCGCGACGGCCCGGGTTCAAACCCGGGTCTAGTCAAGTGGGATTTGTGGTGTACAAAGTGGCGCTGGGGCAGGTTTTCTCCGAGTACTTCGGTTTCCCCGTCCAATCTTCATTCCACAAAATTCTCCATCATCACAATCACCCGGGGCAAGTACAATAGTCCAATCAGTGGCCGCCGTGCCGAGTGGAACCAACTGGACTCCCCCCCCCCCCACTATGCGGACCAGGAACCACAGCGGACAAGGGGGGGGTAACTATATCACTGACAAAACGATAGTGACTAAGATAATGATAGTAAAATAATAATGATAATAATAATAATGCAGCATATAGACCCTTTGTTAGGTAACGACCACGGCACAAACAGGTTCCCACAGCAACGAGCTGACGCGTAACAATAGAGCAACTGTTGGAAACGGTATTTTCTACGTGGTCCGTGCTGAGATATTATAACCGAAACAAGTTTAGAAGTTAAGTCAGTTGTAAGGTAGTGTATGAAAAGTAGACTTAGACGGCGTAGTTGAGAGCCAGTGGGAAACGAAATGAGCGCGAAGCTGAAGAATCTCCACTGTTAGAAGCCGTTACCAGGGAAAGACCGGTGAAGACACGGCAGACTGAAAAGACTTAGCGTGTGCTGTAGTGAACTCTGAAGTGTGCAGATCAGTGATGACTGATGACGCTATAATTAACTGTAGTCACGAGTCATGCGTTAAAGTGGTCAATAAATCCAATCTCAAATCCAAACCCCGTCTATAGGCACTCCAATAGGTGGCAATAATGACAATAACTTGAAATCCAGTTTACACCAAACGAAGTAAATACTACATTCAAAGGAATAAGTGGGGACAGAGCGGGATGGTCTAGAGTAACGCTTTAGAATTGTGCGTGCTCGGTTGCAATCTCGGTCGAGACGTCGGCTATGGTGACTGAGTTTCCCTGTTTTTCTCAGTCCCTCCAGATAAATTCTAGCACATTATCGCAAATTTGGCTACGACCACTCCAAAGTCAATTCCAATTCATCAAAAGATATCCTGAGTGAGGGTTTTCATGGTTTTCTTTAATAACACCAAATGAATGCTGGGATAATACCTCTATCAGACCATGACCTCTTCCTTCCAAGTCCTTTCCAATTCATCATTTGTCTATCATCCTAACATCCGTTACAGAAACAGCGTAAGTAAATAACCCACGGGAGAAAATACAAGGAATTTCATAAATAAATGAGTCTTGCAACCAATATATTGTGCAATTATAAAAAGACAGCATAATAAAACATTTGAAAGTCCTCAAAATCCTAATTTAAGAATGTTGTCGCTTAAGCTGACGAAGCCAAGAAGGCCCTTGGCAGTTTGAATGTCTTCGCCTTCAAAATTCCGAATTATACCGACAACTGCGTAGAGACAACGATAATAACAATAATAATAATTATAACAATGACTTTGCATACATATGTAGGCCGTGTATACAGGCTGTGAGACATAACCTCTGCATCTGGATACCCACTGTACATCTATGAAGAAGGAAACTCGGATTTTAAGAGTGTCAGAACGTATCTATACACTGCATCCGTTTCGAGGATTTATTTATAAAGAGAGTGTCAGTAACATATACTAACTAATACTTGGTTCGTTCTTTTGTGGATTATTTTACGATTCCATCAGTAGCTCTATTGTACTGTATGCGATGACACGACGATAATGACGTGGAAAGGATAGGGAAGGAAGTGGTAATGGCCTAATTCCATGATTTTCCAGGAAGGAGTAAGGACAACCATGAAAATCCTCGATCAGGATGAATGTCCTGGACAAGATCGAACCCAGTACCACCGGAATACAAGGTCAGAGGATCGCTTTTATTCCTACCCGCCCGGTCCAATCAGTGTTAATCGGTAAAGTGACCAGCTATGTATGTATGTACAATAGGGGTGGGCCATAAAAACAGGCCCCCACACTGTGACCTTCAATGATCTATTGTGCTTAAGTGACCAGCTAACTTTCAAAGTTCACAGTAACTTTGCTCTGTGTTGAGCTCAAAACATGGCTGTCAGATTTGTTATCAAGTTATGGCGTATGAAGATGAGAGATTTACGTGACCTGTACTTTAAAGTCACAGGAAGGGCAAACGGTAATACAGAATATTACAGGAATAAACTCTGCAGCACTCAGGGGAGAAGTATTGGGCAGATCAATCACGGGGCCTTGTCTCGATCATGCTTCACCGCTGGAGGGCGGTCGGCGCTCTATCTCGGCCTGCATCGGCTACATTAATGAGCTTGGCCGCCTTTTGACGTCTATGTCTCTTTTTATTGCAGCCACTCGGGTCAATCAGGTTCTTGCAGAACAGCTGCATAAAATATAATAGTAGTATGTGGGGTCTGAGGTTCTCGCAGCGGTCAACACGCAGAGTGTTATCCTCTCAAATACGGCGTTGTCTATGACCTCCATCTTGAAGTAAGGAAGTAGAATGTTGGTAGAATTCTACGAGATCACACGGCATTACATAGCAGAAGATATTGTGATGCATAGACCCACCGTTAAGCAACGATTCGGTAAAAACGTTCCGCTGGAGACAAAGTGCACAAAAATAGGACGTCCATTGCTAGGCAACGAATCAGTAACACGGCTCCTTAATAATCGAGGCTGTTTTTTCTGCATGGTAAGTGGTTATAAAGAAATGTTCAGCAACAGAGAGTAGTCGGAAGTGAAGAGTCGAGTTTCGGGACGTCAGCCTGCCGGGATATGAACTTGGGAGCACAAGAGTTGAATTGAGTCGAGTCTTCGGAGTAGACAGTTACAGAATAATGGCAAGAAAAGAATTAGGCTGTGAAAAGAAGACTCCATATGTGATTTGAAGTGACAGTGAGACTGTCATAAATCCGTTGCCAGGAAACGACTAGTGAAGGCAGAAAACCCTAATGTGTATGAAACGGTGAACTGTAAAGTGTTTAGATCAGCGATAGCACTGTATCACCTGTAGTCCCGAGTTGTGGATGTATAAGGCGCAATAAATCCAATCATCCAATCAAATTATATCCAATTATAAGTTATGCGCAAAGCCCCTAATTCGCGAAAATATTATCCTTCGCACTCTGTTTTAAAACAATCTCATTTCATGTTTTCTCTTAAGGCGAGAGATCAATTTTTACATCCATACAAAACAAGAGGTACATCCCAGATTGAAGGCAGTGCTTGATATCTGAAATAAAAAACTCACGTATCCTTAAAAATAAATTTAATTTTTTCTACATGTACAGCTTACGATAATATACAACTAATGAATATTCCAATACCTGACAGATGTATGCGGAGCAACTTGTGTTCTGAAGGTATGAGCTTAGAATCTTGGCAAGGGTGCTGTCTGTGCTTAGGGTTTTCTTGATTTTTCCAGTCTCTTCACACGAATGTTGCGATCCTTCTTCTACGAAGATAGTTATTACATTCTCTGCGTTTTTCTTTGAATGCATTCTTCACTCTATAACCTATGCACCTAAAACAGCGCCTTTATGTGACCTAGGATATGAGAGTTGAAATGCTATCTGTTTGAGTTGGTAGACAGTAAGGCGAAACATATGGATATTCGTACCTTCAAGCGTCTGGATTCCGAACAGATGCTGGTTGATGAGCCTCGTGGCTGACGCGATGCTGCGAGTGGGCATGAAGCTCGGTCTCTTGCTGGAACCTCGCTGTTTGGTCTCCAGGCTTTCCTGGGAGTCTCCCGTTGCTCGTTCTGGCTCCCCGAACCTCGTCCGGAGCTTCACACCCTGGCAACACACAGCAACAGTCTCATTCACACCGTGGCAACACACATCAACAGTCTTACTCACACCCTGGCAACACACAGCAACAGTCTCATTCACGCCCTGGCAACACACAGCAACAGTCTCACTCACGCCCTGGCAACACACAACAATATTCTCATTCACACCATGGCAACAAATAGCAACAGTATCATTCAACCCTGGAAATATAGCAATAGTTTCATTCACACCCTGGCAACACACAGTAAGTCTCATTCACACCCTGGCGGCACACAGCAACAGCCTCACTCACACCCTGGCAGCACACAGCAACAGCCTCACTCACGCCCTGGCAACACACAGCAACAGTCTCATTCACACCCTGGAAACACACAGCAATAGCCTCACTCACACCCTGGCAACACACAGCAACAGTCTCACTTACACCCTGGCAACACACAACAATATTCTCATTCACACCCTGGCAACACACAGTAAATCTCATTCACACCCTGGCAACACACAGCAAATCTCATTCAAAACCCTGGCAACACACAGTAAGTCTCATTCACACCATGGCAACAAATAGCAACAGTATTATTCAACCCTGGGAACATAACAATAGTTTAATTCACACCCTGGCAAGACACAGCAAGCCTCATTCACACTCTGGCAGCACACAGCAACAGTCTCACTCACACCCTGGCAACATAAAGCAACAGTCTCATTCACAACTTAGTAACAGGAATAGTCTCATTCACACGCTGGCAACAAATAGCAACAGTCTCATTCACACCCCGGCAGCACACAAAACAGTCTCATTCACACCCTGGTAGAGCACAGCAAGTCGTCCAGTCCCTGGTAACACAGACCAATATGCAAAACTCCTCCAATGTGCTTTGTGTGTGTATCTCCCTTTCAATCCTGCTCACTCCGTAACTGAGTCTTGGGCCGTTGAGCTCACACACAAATAAAGAAGAACTGATCTGAGTTACTTCTTGATGTGATATTTTGTACTAGGCGTGGTTCTTGCAGTCATTAAAATACTACTTTCATTCATTTTAAATGGATTTATTTTGCTTTTCTCTCTTCTTAATATCCTTCATTTGTGTAAATGGTAAAGAGGTCAATTTATCCATGTAACAGGCCGTGGAGACCCATAGGGTTGTGAGACTTCGAGGCTCGCACATTTTCTAGGCAACCGGTTCACAGACAGCGGTGAGGTTATCAGCCTTACGCTCCGACCAGGCGCCCTTTACGTCCAGGAAGATTCCTAGTACTCATTTCTGTTAGAGACTGAGTCGATCCCAGGGCCATAGTGCTGCTGGAAGGATTAAGTCAAATGAAAAATCCAATTAACTCATCGAGAATCGAACCCGCGACCTTCCGGCTTGTAGCATAGTACCGCTTGTCCTCCACCCACAAATAACTAACAAGTAGTTAATATTCAAATGCTAGGCCTTACAACGTCCCCTCTCACGTGACATGCGCAAGCGGCTGGGCGGGAGCGACGTACCTGCTGGAACCGAGTTTTCCTGTGTTTAGGCAGCGGAGTGTCATTAAGGCTCCCCCTGCTGCCCCTCTCCGAAGCAACACCAGGGAATCCCTGGAAGGATTCGTCCATAGGTGAAGCCCCGAGACTTCGCAGAGCTGTGTCACCTGATGCACTCTTCTTCACAACTCCGAGACTGCCCCTGCTTGTCGACAGCGCAGAGAGCACCAGTGGCTGTTGCAGCTGCTGCAACGGGCTGCTGTCTCTGCTCCTTTGGTTGTCCATTGGATTGACGTAGAGGTTGCTGTCCAACACGAGGTCCACTATGGCACAGGCTGGATCTGCGATGTCGGAGGTGAGGTCCCCCTGAGAGAGGAAAGGGTGCGTGCTGCAGCTTGCATAAGTGTCGGAACTGTCTACGCTTCCTAGATCTCCGTTGTTACTGTTCGCTCCGACCTTACTGGCGCTGTTCAGATCAATACTCATTGGCACGTACTGGCCACCGGCACTCCCGGCTTGTGCCCAATATCCGGCCTTCAGTGTCTTCATCTCGAGGCAAACGGGGTTTCGGAAGTCACTCGTGGGCAGAGGCATTAGACTCTCCGCGTCAATGAATTCCTTGAATTCCTATAAAAAGAGGAAACCGTGAATGTACAGAAATTATTTTGGTGTGTTACATGTTTCAAAATCCAGCCGTACAGTCAACAACATAAAGAAAGTGAACTTATTCGATCAAAATTAGTTCCTACGCAATTAAACAAGGACAAACAATTAATTAATTTATTTCAAATTAAATGAAATAAATTATTCGATGTTAATAACATAATTGTAGTATCAGTATTTATTAATTTTTAAATTTATCTGTGAAAGATCAACATTTCGATCCTCGCCATAATTTGTTTCTATTTTTTATCTTCTGCTGGATATTATTTATAAAATAAATTCTCTCTATGTTAAGTGATACTGTGGAGCTGCGTCAACCGAAATAAAGGAACACCAACAGAATGAACAGTTTCACAGTGAACAGTGGGTCCTCAGTACTGCAGTATCGGTTTTAGTGTTATCCACCCCTCCATAAGAACATTTCCAGAGTGGTCTATCTAGACTTTTCTATCAATAATTTGTTATCAATTCCTTATTTTCATCAATTCTGTCCATCTCATGCTGTAAGCATAATGAGCCGCCTGGTTATGTAATTATGTACAGGATGAAACCACTTCTTCTTTCGTAGGTCTAACTAACTGTTTTCTTGAACACGTGTTCACACATAACGCAGCCAATGCGGTTTCCTGCCAATTCCTTGTTTAATGAAATGCCAATGAGAAAAGTTTCCAGGCCTTATTTATTAGCGTGGTCGAAATAAATTTTGGAAGAAAATTTCGCATACCAAATAAAAGAGAAAAATGTAAGAAACACATTTTATACAGCAATATTTTCACAATAAGCAGAAGTTACCACCGAGAATGGAGAAAGTGTTTTTATTTTGCGGTTCCTTTCTACCAGAATTGAGTGACCGAAGGAAGGTAAAGAGATTGCTCTGACTAAATCGATTATCTCTCCCTTTTTTTTATTAGACGTGGAATTCTGAAACGTAACTTTGTTCGATCACAGGAGAAACTACAACACACGCCTGTTTCGTTAACAATATATGGAAACAGGAGGCGAACAAATTTTTCGAAGTAAATACCAGGTCACACATGTTTTATGCCAGATTTACAGGAAGTTATACATATTTTGCGAGAAATTTCGCGTCTGTAACAGTACTGCGCGCAAGAACTTTAATAATAATTCAGGTTTTAAATATTAATATATCGCTAATATTATATAAACAATAATGATAAAGGGTGTGCCAAAACACAGTCAGTAAATGTCACAGGCAAAATTCAGAGTCGACGGATTAAACAGACAATTCGTGGATATGTAATCATCGTTTCACTTCGGTTTTACTATATCTTAGACATACGGTAGGACTCCTTGGGCGGGTGATCAGCTCGTCGCAAGGCCTCTACTATTACACAAACACAGAAAAACGCACACAAACATCCATGCCCTGAGTGGGATTCGAACCCACGATCCCGGCTTCCGAGCGAGCGAAGACAGTGCATGCCTTAGACCGCTCGGCTACCGTAACCGGCATATATATGTATATATACCTGTAAAATTTGTCACTAATTACACTAATTGCGATGAATTAGCAATGTTGAATGTTACAGCAGTTTGGTGTGCAAACTGAACTACTATATACCATAACCAGACTCTAGACAAGTAAGTGTTTGTACTCGAGACAAAGTGAGATACACTGGAGTTAATACAGCAATGAAAACTTACACAAATACAGAAGCAGGTATGGTTGGCTGTAAAAGTACCAATTGCAGAAGTAACTAGTCCGAATTCAAGACGGACTAAGAACGAACTTTAAGCATAAGTATGAAAAAGCAACTATACAGCACAAAGAAGAGGGCAAACAAGCGTGAGAACTGCTTTCCATGCACAGGATTAATATCAGGCCTTGATGTTACACACTGGCGTTCCTAAGTGTGAATCAGTGAAGTTTCAAGTATTCGAATATTCAACATGGTGGATATCTATAAACTTCTTAGCTGAACCCAACATCAGCGAATTATATTTATTTTAATTTTGATGGACATTGGCCATATAAGTCACTGGGGTTATGAATGTGGAATTTTGAAAACCTACTGATAATAAACGGATTTTAGAAATCTTGAAAATATTTTGTGTGTGTTTTCGCGAAAACTGTGAGGTTATGTCTGCAGAAATAACGCGTTGAGACCGAGAATGGAAAGAAAATTATATGCCACGAGAACTTCCCATAATTTCTTGTTTTGTCGATTTGTCAGATTCGAACGTCTTCAAATGAATGGAAGGCTCATAGTATAGTCAAGCGTAAATTTCCATGCTAATTCTATGCAGACACAGCAGTGAAACGCTGTGTGACAGAAGACAATCGATGAGCGATCAGTTATCTCTGCAAAATTCACTTAACTGCTTCAGAAACAAATGCATCTGTGCTACAGAGGGCTATCACAAGGCATGAATGGCTCAGTTTCCATTTTACGAATAGCACGAGGCGGTGAAATGCAAATGCATCAGTTTGTGGAATTCTCTGCTGCTGACTTTGCTTTATTTCATAGCCTAATTAGGTAAACACAACAACATAATAGAATCAAGGAATGCAATTCATTTTTTATGTGCAAAGTCGAGATTTTCATACAGTCAATCTATTTAAATGGCTGATTTGTAAAAGGTTCTGACGTTGGTGTATTACACCCAGGATTTTTTAGTGTAGTATTCTGAACGGAACACAGCGATTTGTAAGCTGGATTTGTTTCCTTCTTCAGGTGAAGTTGTGGGGCCTCACCTGAAAAGTTCGTCCCTTCATAAGGAGATTAATATCGGATCCATGATTGCGACTAGTCCTCCATAACGGGCTCAGCTTAGTGAGTGCCTCCTACCATTTCTCTTGAGGAAGGAATCAGATTAAGCTTCCGAAAATCTGCGTTGTGTTCAGAACACTAAATGATGAACAAAGTCCAGAAATTCTGTGATACCTAGTGTCTGAATAATATTTTAAAGGCAAATTTCTAAAAGAAAAATCCGTGGCTTTAGTTCGCAAGCGAGCTATACCGACAGAGCGACTGCCGCTTGTCGGCGAAGTTAGTACCAACTTCAGCCGACAGAGGGTGTCACGTGGTCAGCGCAACGAACCCCACGGCCGGTAACTTCCGTTTTTTAGACCGGAGCCGCTGTGTCCTTGAAATAACTCCTCAATTATCCTCAAGAGGCTGAGTGGACCCCGTTCCAGACCCACAACTTCTCAGAAAATCTGGTAGCGCCGGTAATCGTCTATCTCACAGAAAACACGCGCATTTTCATTACAGAGACTGAGTTAATTATGTGTAGACAAATAAAAACTCTTTCATCTAGGGGTAAAACAAATTCTAGTGTCGCAATGTCCTTCCAGACAAATTCCAGGATAGTAAGTACTTCGGTTGGATACTTCCGCTTCTTTCTAAATCATTCGAAATTCATCGCTCCACTTGATGTTATCTTGTGTCGATACAGAAACCAATGTTAAGAGCCCACAAGACGGACAATTCAAACTCCGAAGGGATTTGCAGTGAATACACGGGACCCAACTCTGTAAGTGCTGGGGGCTAAACTTTTTTTTACGTTAGAATCTTGTATTAAAATATTTATTTCAGAACTGAGAACTTTTCAGTGAGATATCCTACAAGGCCGTTCCACATCTCAGGCGGTTAGTTGCCGATTTCCCACCGCGGAGGCCCGGGTTCGAGCCCAGGTCAGAACATGTGGGATTTGTGGTGAACAAAGTGGCACTGATGCAGGTTTTCTCAGAGTACTTCGGTTTCCCTTGTCAATTCCCGTTCCACCGACTGCTCCACGTTCATCATCTATTATACGTGGCTGGTACATTTAATGGCCGACGTACCAATTGGGCTCAGTCTCACCCCACCCCAATAAACTAAAAAAAAAGTATTGCAACAATGGTAAATTTATCTTGAAGTTATTTTCTCGTAATGAGGGTCTGTGACATTCAATGCTAGTGACGTCATATCATAATATTTCATTATGCAGGTTAATCAAACTGTAACTTGACATCGCTAGAAGGCTAAGTGTTCCGAGTCATTCTCCCGCCCGAATTAAGTTTCTGGCTAAAAGTGATGACAGCCTCAGCCACTCATGCTCTCTGGTTGTAGGCACACATCAGAACGTGCATCAAGCCACTAGCAACATGCATCATCTACTTGCGTTTTGCACCAGTCAGTATGCCTATATCAAACATTAGGTAATTTGCCAAGCCTGGGCTCCCTCGATGCTGTGCAGGGAAATCAGACGAACACAGCCTCCACTTGTACGCCCCTGTGCTACAGTAGGAAGAGACAAAACTGAAGTTTGATGTGCGGGTATCTGCAACTTTATACGTGCCACGTCTTTCTTTCACGGCTATTTCCACTTCGGAGTAAACATATAAAAGTTTATTTTACTTGTCCGTGTTGACTGAATGTCGGAAAGATTGAGATGAAGTCTATAAACACCATCAAACGAAAGGAGGCTAATTTTGTTAGAGTTCGCTTTTGTTTCCCTTCCGTCAGCCGTCAAAACGGATAGCATAATAATTGAAGTAGTTTCGGGGCCATGAGGCAAGTGTTACTTTATGTCTGGATCAAGAGTCATAACGCCCAATAAGCATTAAATGTATTATGAATTAAGTGACCTCATGAGACAGAACAGCGGAGAGCAGTAGCGTAGTTTGTTGAGGCAATATGCTACAAGCATATTCTCGGTGAGGTAATTATATTTTACGTTTATCTAATCCAGCCATTATATGGCTCTGGGGTCGACCCAGGCTCTAACAGAAATGAGTACATATTATCTTCCTGGGAGTAAAGGACGGCCGGTGCTTAAGGCTGAAAACCTCACCGCCATCTATGATCTGAGTGTCTAGAATATGTGTGAGCCTCGACGTCTCACTATTCTATAGGTCTTCACGGCCGTTACAGGGGTAGCTTTACCTTTTTACTATGAAATAGAGTTTTATTTTTCTAGAATCTTGCAATCACTCAAGAAATTCCCAGAAATTTAAG